GCTACGGACTGAGGGAGCTCAACCCTCTTTTCCTCAGCATGCTCTGCATATTAAAGAGAACCAGTTGACAACCAATTGAGTACTTTAGATAGACTCCTCTCTTTGTTCAAACAAAAAAAGTTGCTAGCAGTTCTCACTGCCACACATGGACAAGCGGCTGCAGCTGAGTCAAACTAAAACGGGGAAAAAACAACAACCTGAATAAACCAAATAATAACCCAAGCAGGCAGTTTGGTTTGTACAACTTGGGTGGTATACTCAGCCTTGGGAGACATGCTAGTCCTGCCTAAGGACAAGAAATGTTGAAGATGCCAGGAGCCTATGCCAGCCTCTGATGACCACAGTGAATGCATACGCTGTTTGGGGGGGGACACGTACAACAAAAATGTGTCCACTGCTGTAGCCTGACAGCGAGTGCTCGCAAGGAAAGAGAGCTCACAGCCCACACGCTGTCTATTGCCAAAGCTCTTGAGCCCCATAGCTATAAAAGGGACAATAAGGGCTTGAGCGCAAAATCTCCTCAGGGCAATCCCTCCAGCCCTTTGCCTCAGAAGTCATGGTCAGAAACCAGACCCTCACCAATCCGCTCTCTTCCCCCTCAAGAATCCGTCAAAGGGATGAACCAGGTACCTCAGGCATACAGAAATTTTGAGCCTCCTCTATGCCCAGGCATCAAAAAGGGCACCTACTAAAGGGCCTGATGTAACAGAGGCATTAAGTGTTTTGAGTACACTCAATATCCCCAGCACAACGTGAACCCCCAAGTAATCTCCACCACGGGTGACGGGGCTAGTCCCAGCTGCTCTCCAGTACCTTGTGCTAACCCCACATCCCCTGGGGTTGTGACTGCACTCATGCCACCCTTTCATGTACGAGGGGACTCAGCAACAGCTCACAGGGCATCATCCCACAGCCATTCCCCCATGCACAAAACACATACATACACCACCAGGACAGGAAGGCCAGAACTGGGCCCCCTGCTTGACTTTTGACATGGCACTGCACTCGCTCCCCATTACTGATAAGGGGCTCGCCATGTTCACTTGCCTTGTCTCAAATCGGTGCTTACCAAGGGGATTCAAGCAGTAGGTTCTCCTCTCAACCCTCCTCCCCAGAGAGAGCATATGCACCTTACGGGGCATATGGCTTATCTCGTTATCAGTATCCTCCCTGGCTTCCGGAATGGTACTATTTTGACAGACCTAGCTGATGGTCCCCCTATCGCTATGGGGCACCTCGTCGTACCTCCATTACCCCTCCTACACCTGCACAGAGGTCTGTGACATCTATACATTCAGACCCATCGCATTCCCCATCTAAGGGTACCCCCTAGAGGAAGGGCAAATTAAGGATGAACCAATGGTCCAGCAATCAGACATACCACCCAATGATAACCACTTCATCAGTAATGGAGGAGTTATCCCGAATGATCCAGCACCTAGTGATGACCTTAAACAGTTCCAGGAATTATTTAAGAGAGTAGCAATCAGTCAAGAGGTAGTCTTATCAGAGGTGCTGGAAAAACAGCACAAGCTCCTAAAGAACTTGCAGCCCTCTGCAAAATCTAAAATTGCCCTGCCTTTAGATGAAGCTATTCTTGAGGCAGCTGATGAAGTATGGCAAACCCCACGTCGCCCCCCCCTCCCCCCCGACCAACAAAAGGGCCAATAGAAAGTATTTTGTCCCATCAAAGGGCATGGAATTCTTGTATTTACACCCACAGCCTGACTACTTTGGTAGTTGATGCTGCGAACCAAAGGGCCAAAAAACTGCAACACAAGGCTCAGGCACAGGACAAAGACCACAAACGCCTCAATGTTTTTGGGAGGAAGATGTACTCCTCAACCCTGCAGCTTTGCACAGCCAACTATACAGCACTGCTTGCAAATCATGATTTTGACAATTTCACGAAACTAACTGAGCTTATGCACAATATTGCAAAGAACAAAAGGCCTATCCTTAAGGCAATCAGAGGGATACACTACGGCTCTACAAATGGCCCTAGATGCTGCTAGGTCTGCTGTGACATCTATGGTAATGAGAGATGTGCGTCTTGGCTACAAGCAGAAGGAGTCCCTAAGGACCTCCAGGCCAAAGTAGAGGACCTGACATTTGATAAGACCAAATTATTTGCTGCAGATACTGACGAGTCCTTACACTCTAGCAAAGATTCGCGCACTACTTTGTGCATCTTGGGGATGTACACTCCATGCTACTGGAGGAAGTGTTGCACACCTTACCAGAGACCGTCTTTTCTAGTCAACAACAGTACCGGCCTTTTGCACAGAATCACTTCTGACCTCGAAACCATCGTAGAAAAGCCCTTAACTGTTCTTCCACGACTTGTACCTCTAGGTAGTAAGTGTGAGAATTTGGTCGAGGGTCTGCCCGACCTCCTTTCCACTTCAGTACCTGGCAAGTCTGACACATTTCACCACTGCTTGTTCCCTTATTACAATCAATGAGTAGCAATCACCACGGATGGGTGGGTACTAGAAGTCATCAACTGTGAATATTCTATCCCCTTCACAGCAATCCCCCCAACCACCCCACCCTCTCTCCCCCTCTTCAGGGACCCCTTTCACGACATACTGCTCCACCAAGAGGTGCAGCATCTCAATATAGGAGCCATAGAACAAGTCCCAAAAAGATTCAAAGGGAGAGGTTTTTATTCTAACTGCTTTCTCACAGAGAAGAGGTCAAGGGGTTGGAGGCCCATTGTGGACCTGCAGCAATTAAACAAGTACCTCCAGAAGCAGCAATTTAAAATGATCACTCTCACCACTATAATTCCAGCACTGGACAGAGGGAACTGGTTTGTAGCCCTTGACCTTCAAGATGCATATTTTCACATCACAGTACATCCCACACAGGTGTTTTCTATGATCTGTGGTAGCGTCACATCACTTCCCATACAGAGTCCTCCCATTTAGACTCTCCTCTGCTCCCAGTGTCTTTTCCAAGACCCTCACAGTGGCAGCAGCACATCTCAGATGCAATGGCATTACAATATTCCCCTATCTGGACGATTGCCTTATCAAGGGCCCCTCACAACATGCCACAAGAGGCATGATCAGGTTTGCAAAGGCCTTTCTTCAGTCGCTGGGCTTCATTATCAATGAGCAGAAATCCACACTATGCCCTATGCAATCCTTGGAGTTCATAGGGGCTCGCATAGATTCCATAACAGCATGAGCCTATCTTCCCTAATCACCCTTTTGACAACAGAAAAAGCCTCGTCACTATCGTTACCATCAGCCCAACCATACCCATCCTAACTTGCCTCAAGCTTATGGGACACATGGCAGCCACCACATACGTAGTTCCGCATGCCAGCCTGTGCTTTTGAGCTTCCAGCACTGGATTTCTTCAGTGTACATGCCAACCAATGGCAACTTCATCACTTAACTTCCTCACCATAAGATGCTGTTCCTCCTCACAATCACATCCGCAAGGTGGGTTAGCGAATTTGCAGCGCTCACGGCTTTACTTCCGTACATGACCTTTCACAAGCACAAGATTATTCTGTGGCCTCAACTGTCCTTTTTACCCAAGATTGGGTCGGAATTCAATATCAATGAACCGATAGTCCTTCCCACTTTCTATCCAAAACCGCACCGTTCCAGAGAAGAAACCATATTACACACCGCCTTCTATCTTTCTATGACTCAGTCTTTTCGGTTATCCCAGAGACTGCTGGTATCCCTGGCTGAAAGGACCAAGGGACAACCACTATCTTCTCAGTGTATTTCAAAGTTGATACCATCATGCATTACTACTTGTTACTTGCTCCAGAACAGGTCATTATCGATGACTCCAAGGGCTCATTGTACCACAGCGATGGCGACATCAGCTGCTTTCCTAAAGGGGGTCTCACTCCAGGAAATACACAGAGCAGCGACATGATTGTCAAATTACAAATTCATGAAGCACTATGCTATTCCATCATGCTCTACAACAGATTCTGCAGTAGCCACCGCGGTCCTCTCCACAATTTGTAGCAATTAATTGAAGCCTACCATCTATCTGGGCACTGCTACACAGTCACCAACGGGTACATCACTCGAAGAAGAAAGAGAAATTACTCACTTCATGCAGTAACGATTGTTCTTCAAGATGGGTGACCCCATGGATGTTCCATAGTTGGTGTCAGGCTCGTCCTGGCACCACAGATCGGAGACTTCACAAGGGTGGCAAAGAAGAAACCGAGGGAAAAGTGGTCTGTGCGTGTTACTTCAAAGGCGGGAATGCCGCTCGCATATGCACAGCCTGCCTGATGACTGCTTGAAAGTCTCTGATCAGTGGTGCAGGGACAAGCCGGATACCAACAGTGGAACACCCTCAGGGACACACATCTCAAAGAAGAATTGTTATTGTACAAAGTGAGTAACTTCTCTTTTCGGTGCATACTCTCAAAGCTGTCTTTGACTAATGACTGGATAGGGAAGGATTTGATTTTTGTTGTGAAATGTCAGTTTTACAGTACATACACAAACCGCATTTTTTTTCAATAGATGATTGAAATTTACAGATAGGTAAAGTAAGAAAAGTCCTGCTTGAACTTAGTTTGATTTAAGGATATTTATTTTGTATATTTTGACATGTGATGTTGACAACTATCAATCAGTAAGTGTCTGCATGTTATGCAACAGAAAATTTAAATGTCTGAAAACATGTTTAAATATTAACATTACACACTGAAATTTATTTTCAAAAAGCATTGAATTTTGCCAAGCCTATTAATGGAGTTATACATTTTAACTTCATTTTAAAGTAAATCTGAAATGTATGAACATTGTTCTAAAGCAAATGTTGAATTCTGTAGCCATGGAGTATGACACAGTAGGGCTTCCATATTTCACTATTAAGATCTGCATTATCTCACTCCAGATATGTCTGTTTCTTTAGATCTTCTACCCGTACATGACTAAATTTTGAGTGAACATATGTAGAATTACAAATCCTGTTTGCTATGACCTGACTTTTTCACTAATTTTCAGCATCCTATGGGCCGGATAAACTTGGCTAACTGCACGAATCGTCACATTGAACCAGCCAACAGAGAGTTCTGTGCCCGACCCAACACTTTTGAGCTAATCACTGTCAGACCTCAGAGGGAAGATGATAGAGAGACTCTGGTCAGCCAATGCAAAGACACACTCTGTGTCACCAAGTAAGTGAATAAATGATTTTGTTGTGCTTTAAAGTGCTGCGATCTTTCTGTCCAGTATTAGGAGTGATATTAACAGTATCATAGCCTGTTGAACTTTAGAATTTGAATAGGATTGTTATCAATTGCCATGTGAAGAGACTGAATGGGTTAATCTTGAACCATTTTGTTTAGTTCTGCTTTGCTATTATGTTCATGTCCAGTTTTGTGAGAATTAGGATCTTCAGCTCTTATTTTGAGAGCTGTACTAGTGTCATGTAGTTTCTGATGACAGCACTTTGCATAGTTATGTTTTGTGTGGCAGATTCGGGGGTGTGTGTGTGTGTGTGTGTGTGTGTGTGTGTTTTTTTTTTTTTTTTTTTTTTTTTTTTTTTTTTTTTTTAATTTCTAAGCTCTGGGTCTCGATTTGTTGGAGGGTTAAGAAAACTATTTTGGAAGTGGTTGGCTTTAATGACTTTGGAGAATCGGAAGGATGTTTCAAAAGACTTTTTTTTTTTTTTTTTTTTTAAGGAACTTGTTATCTGCTGATACTAAAGAAGAGCGCAACCTTTGGATGCAAAAACTCAACCAAGTTCTTGTGGATCTTCGTATGTGGCAGCCTGATGCATGCTATAAACCTATTGGAAAGCCTTGAAACTACGAGGAAAATTGCTGTGAGATCTTATGTAGAAGAAAACAAACTGCATTATAAATCCGTTTTTTTTAAAATGTAGGATTGTCTAAGCACCTCTGGGTTACTTATTATACTTTATGCTTTAAATCTGGAAGAGTATGTGCCATTCATTATACAGACTATGTTATGTAGTATTTGTATTTCTTATTAGAATTTTAACAACTTTCTTAGCAAACGAGTGTTATAGGAGGCAATTAAGCTCCTTATCTGAATGTGCTAAATATGAATATAAAACCTCTTTTTGAAAATCTATACAGCTTAGTATGGTCTATTAAGATATCAAAGTTTCTTTGGAAACAGCTAAATCAGGAGATAGCTTTATTACAGGAAATCTGAAATTTCTTGTAAAACACAAGTGTACTAGTTAACTGTATTTTTCTTTAAGGGAACAGTGACTCATCAGAGTTCACACCATTTAATAGGTAGAGTGCTGAAGCAGGAACTTCAATGCTTTTGAGGTTTTTAGTAATTCTTCCTTAGGCATAAAAGTTGCCAGTTTTGTGCACTTTACAGCATGCGGTATAAACTTTCACTTGTGGAAAGTGGAAACTACTTGTTGTCAGAAAAAGAAATGTACAAATACATCCATAACTGTTTCTTACATTCTTAATCTTGTCTGCCATTTCTTATACAAAGCAGTTTATGGGCGAGTGCATGGCACATGCTATGTGGTTTACAGAAGTTGAATTATGTATGCAGTATGTTGCACATTTTCATAGAAATAAAATGTCTTGAATATTCTATTAGGGTTTTATACGTTTAGTTTCAAACTGCCCAAATATGTGTGTCCTGAATCTTATGATTTGTACAGAGTATAATTTTCATTCTTTTTTTTTCCTGCATTTGAGCACCAGAAAAAAATTGTAATTTTTGTTCCTTTTTATAAGACTCAACAAAGCTGCTGTATGCCAACTAATACTTTTTTGGCCATGAGAAATACTAGAGTTGTCTATAAGTTCAGGTAAAACTCTGTACTTCGGGCCACCAGTAAAATGGCAGAACTACTCAGTTAAAGTCCAAATATGCAATGTTCACAAAAGCTTTCTACTGCGCTTACTGTAAAGTACATTAGTAGTGTACTTTAAAGTGCTATAAGCTGTTAAATCTTCACACTTGAAACACTAAATTCTGTCAACCAAACTTTTCATCCTGTCTTCTCTACTATTGCTCTTGAATCTACTGTTTTTGTCATCTTTAAATATTTCAGAATGATGTATTAAGATTTATTGTATTCCCTTATGTAAAGAATAAAAGGACTGAGTAAACTTCCAAAAATGGGTTGTGTGCAGTAATCGAAGTACACTTTGAATTGGAGGGGGAAAAGTGCATATTGTTTCAAGGCTTCTAATCCATATACAGATGGTATATGCTCAGTGGTGGGGAAGGTTGACTTTTATATGCAAAACAGGATACATTGTTGTCTTGTCCATACCATCCTGAGTCTTAGTAATCAGACAATTGTCAGGTCTGTTTGTTTGATATATTCATTCCAGTTCAGTGGTCTGGAAATCCTGTGACAGACTCCTATCCTCTTAACAATTTAATCAGAGACCAAATGTTAGATATGGAGACTAGTGATCCAGGCTGGTCAGGACTATAGAATGTTGTCTTGTCAACATGCTTCACTCTGGATAGAGCACTTGAATCTCCAAATTTATCCATCTATCTTTCACAAGTGAACAAGTTCCAGGAAAATTGCAAAGTCTTTTGGCCACCAGTGATGGAAACACACAGAACATAAGCGACCCTCAAGGCAGTATCAAAGAAGACTAATCTCAAATTGAGAATGGATTGGATGATATTTGAAATGTAGGTACTTCTATCACTGGCATAGAATTCTAGAGGGAAAAGCACTCTGCTATTATCAGGCCTGTCTACTAACTTAAAAAAAATTTGAGCCTTTGGTTCCTGTTTTGAACTTGGCACACTGTTCAGTTTGTTTGAACTTTCAAACAGTCCAAATACCTGATCAACTTAAAGCTTCTATTTTTAATATAATTCATGCACAGGAATTGGTATATTCGATACCTTGCAAATCCAAAGCTACAAATGGGATCTTTATGCCAAAAGAAAGCCAGTTACTTGCATTCTTCCATTAGCTTGTTTCCAGCCCTAGTAAAACAGCAAGAGATGGGATCTGAAACTAGGTGTGTACAGAAGTGTTTTTAAAACTTTGGAAAACTGAAATCTATAGAGTAGACAAAGGGGAGCTCAGCTTGATAGGTGGAGGAATGGACCTATCTAATCCACTCAAAGTGCAAATCAATATACCTGGGTGATAAAATACTTGTTTCTGTGTATAGTTGTGAAAGTGTAAATTGCAACATGTTGTTTGCCTTTCTACTCATGTTAATTTATGTTACTATTACAAACTGACCTGGATTATGGGTTTTAAACACAATGCATTGAGGCTGAGTCATGTAGGACTGCAGTAAGCAGAAACATGCTCTTAGTTTATCAGTGAGCAGTTGTTTGAACTTTCAGTGACTATATTTAGTGACATTTCTCTAATCCTTTTAAATGTGAACTATTTTTATGTTGGAAAAAGTTATCTGAGGGACTTGAAAGTGATTTATTTTTCTTAAGAAAGGGAATGATTGTAGTCATTCTTTTCCAATATACTTTGAATCTGGGCTGCTGACTGTAGTACCTCAGTGAGTATGACAAGAGGACTGAGGGGGAAAAAATGGTTTACATTAAGGATGTAAAGGACTAGTTGACTATCCGACCAGCAAATGCTAATGGGTAGTTGACTAGTGCCCCCACCCTTGCTGCCTCTATCAGGTAGAGGCAGCAAGGGTGGAGGGAGAAGAGGGGAGTACTTGAAAGCGGCAGTGCTGCATGGTGCCCGGGGTCAGCTGCTCTAGGTGGCACTGCTGCTTTGAATGCTGGCTGGAGCCTGGGATCAGGTGGGGACCCCATGCTCAGTGTGGCACTGCCCTTTTGAAATGCTGCACAGAGCCCAGGGTCAGTGGTGTCCCGCATTGACTCCAGGTGGCACTGCTGTTTTACAATGCACATGCATTTCAAAGCAGAAGCTCCCGCATGGAGCCTGGAGTCAACGGGACTTCCTGCTGGCTCTGGCCTCCACACAGCATTCTAACTTTGAAATGCACAAGAGCCCCCCACTAGCACAATTGTACATTTCAGAGATGGAATGTGGATGTGCTTACCGACTAGTCGATGGAAATATCGCTACTTAACATCCCTAGTTTACTTTGGAACAGATTTTAATTTTTGTAACTAAACTAGTGATCAGCTGAAAGCAAATACCAGCAAACTCGAGATCTGGCTGTTTGGGAGACTGGCACATTTTTAATTCTTAAACTATGGGTTTTAGGTTATTAGAAATACAGATGAGGATTCTAAGGAGGGAAAAACATTCCCGGTAGCATTTTGTTAGCTAAATGAAGTTTTAGTGCCTCAAGGCAAGGTCAGGGTTTGGCTGTGCCAGGACAATGGGATGTTTGTGGAATGCAGTTGTTTCCTATCAGAAGGAAGGGGAGGGGTGTGACTGCAGAGACAGTTATCATTTTATACCCCAGAATGACTATGGGGTGGGGGAAGCAAGTGCTTCAACCCTAAAGAGCAGCATGGCCCTGCCACCCCAGCTTACCCAGGGAAGAGTAGCTGGCAGGGGGCCTGTGTGGTTCCTCTTCTCTCCCATCACCACATGAAGAAGCCTCTGGCTGCCCTTCCCCTGAGCTCCTCTGCACCCCAATTCTTACTTCTGCATCCCCACATGCCCAGCCTTGTGCCCTGAGCCCCCCACATAACCCAACAGTTTCACTGTCTTGGGTAGCAAGGCCAGGTAAGTCTTTTAGTTGTGATACAGGTGGTCAGACTATATTACACAGGCCCCAGAATTTACCAGGATCAACTCCTGTTTAAACTACAGCTGTAGACTCCAACCTTTTTACACCCAAGATCACTTTTTTAAACATCAGTGCAAGCCAAGATCTTCTCCACCCCTTCCTTGAGGCCCTGCCCTCTCTATTCCCCTCCTTTCCATCATTTGCTGTCCCTAGCCCTTACTCCCTCACTGGGTTGAGACAGGAGGTGAGGGCTCTCAGGTGGGAATGAGGGATTTAGGTGTGGGAAGGGGTGAGAGATACAAGCTGTGGGAGGGAATTTGGGTGCAAGAGGAGGTGGTTAAGGGTATGATGGCTCAGGGAGGGGATTCCATGCTGGAGAGTGTTGGGGTCAGGTAGAGTGGGTGTGCAGGAGTTTGGGTTGGGGTGTATGAGGGGCTCAGGACACGGTTGTGGCGCAGGATTGTTGTGACAGAAGATGAGATGTTGGGCGTGCAGGAGTGTGGGGATGTGAGGGTGTTTAGGGAAGGGTTCAGGTGTATGATGGGCTCAGGATTGAGGTCTGGGAGGTGCAGGAGTGTTATGATGCTGCAGCTAGTTGGGGGCTTGGCCCCAATTGGGTGCTTGTTGGCGAGGCTTCATTTTTAAATAAAATATGTCCAACACAAAATATTTCAGTATTGTCTTCGTGAGGGGCGGGGAACCTGTTGGGTCAAGGGCCACTGACCCACAGAAAAAACAGATGGGGACCACAGAAGTGAGATGCCCCAAAAAAAAGCCTGCCACCTCTAAAACCTCCCATATCTCACTGATGTGGCCCCAACTGAGACAGCTCCCTCCCCTGGCACTCCAGCCCCATGGGGGGAGAGGGTAGGTAGGACTGAGGTTCAAGGTCTCAGGCCAGATTAACTCTTCTGGGATTCCAGGGTTAGTGGATTTTTTTGGGCCCCTCTCTACTCTGAGATGGGGCCAAAAATGAGGGATCCAGTGAGTGGGATAGGGATGGGGGTGCAGAATCTGGGTGGAAAGTAGGGTACAATAGTAAGCTGGGGGTAGGTGTCTAGCTAGGAGGGAGAGGGCAGGAGCAGGATGCTGGTGGGGAGGAGGGGGCGAGGCTCCAGGGTCAAGGATCTCTAGGGCAGGAGTTGTGGACAGTGCTGGATGAAGTGCATGTGTGGCTCCTTTAAAAAGCCAGCCACTCTGGCTCCTGTACTGCCATTTTAAACCCCACCCATCCCTGCTTTACTGGAGCGTGGGGAAGGAAGGGAAGACAAGAATGCATGTGCATGCTGTTGTGGGCAGGGGAGGAATGTGCACTTTCTTGTCTTCCCTTCCTTCCCTCTGCTGCCTGCTTTCCTTTCTGAGGGTGTGTGTGTGGGGGGGTTCTGAGGGTTAGATCTAGCTTCTCAGGAAGCATGCTTCCTGAGAAGCCAGGTCTGGAGTGGAAACACCATGCCACAGGAAGCCGAAACTAGCTCTAGTTTTGTGGGAGGCAGGAGGTTGTAGCATCAGCGTGGGCTCTTTGTTTGGGGTGGGAGGAAGCCAGGGGAGGCTGGAAACCCTCCTCATGATCAACTGGCTGTGCCCCTGCAATCTACCAGTCGATCGTGATCTACTGGTTGGTGACCACAGAACAAGAGCATCTCTTAGGGGAAAATCCCCCTGTAATCTTGCTCTAAAAAGCTAGTGATTTGACACACCACCTCAACCTTTGCTAATCTGCTCCACTAGTTAAATTGCAAATTAACAGAATAATTATTTCCCATCTGAATTTGTTCAGGTTCTAGCTACTGGCTCTTGTTATATCTTTGTCTGTTAGACTGAAGAGCCCATTAGCAACTTTTTTGTTCCCCATGGAGATACTTAGCCTAAGATGTGTGTCTACATTTAGAGACCTTACAGCAACATTGTGGCCATGCAGCTTCACCCCTGTATGGTCTCTCATGTAATCACTACATGCCAATGGGAGAGAACTCTAGCCTGGATGAGTGTCTCTTGCTGATGCTCATTGGGGATAGAGCACACCAGCATGTCTGTTGGTTGTGTAATGTTTTTTCACACCCCTGACTGATGTCAGTTTTACTGACAAGACATAGCCACACCTTCTATTTGCACAGCTAAAGTGAGTGCTTTGATATAAAGTATGTTCTTCAATTCTTGCGGCTTTTTGAAGCTTATCAAGAGTCTCCTGTGACTTGTGGCTGTAATGACCCGGGCTCAGTTTTGAGTAGCCGTCATACCAGTGTCCCTCTCCTGTTTGTACTAGCTCTTTGGGCACAAGGTTATGGGGCGCTCATGTTTAATTGGCGAGCCACCACAACAGCCTGCCCTTTGGCATCCAGTTTAACAAGCAACCCAGGTTACTTTATTATTTCCAGCTTCCTCAATCTGTGTGTCAGCTGCAAACTTTGTTAATGATTTTGTTCCAGGCTACTGTTGTTTAACACTTTTGTCAT